TTAACTTTATACACAAGTGCCAAAATCCTATAATTATGAACAATGGTGTTTTTTGTACGAAAAATAGTTTTAAACCGATGGTTGACACAGCATATATATATCCCGTTTTTTGAACCTTTGTGTTTAAACAACAACCACACAAAAATCTATATTATTATTAACTTCCGTACTACTAAAGTTTAAAGAACTACTCAAGTCTTAAGAAATAAGATAATAGCGCTTTTAGTTTTAATTAATAATTAAAGCAATCTACAGTAGTCTTCAAACTTCAAAGTCGTTATTGTTAAGCATTATTCATTGCTTGTTGCAACAAAATTAACTTGATTTTAAATTGGCAGGAAAATGGTTTGTATATTTCTTAATATACCTCGTACTGAGTAGCAGCAGTAGTAAACAATGGCGAAAACTGTGGTTTAGTTTTATTTTCTGTTACTGTTATGAAAATTTGAATATTCTGTTTCTTATGTGATTAATATCAAATGTTTGATTTATAAATTATATGATTTAATTAAGAGAACATAATTTTAGCCCAGTAACCTTTACATGCTGAGATTTCTTTCTTCAGGGGTCACTCTGAACTGCATTAGTCTTTTTTAATGAACATTTATGCCAACAACTTGAAGAAGAAACATTTCCAGTTTTATTATTAATAACATTTCCAAATGAACCAGAGAAGAATTTTTAGACACTATGTATGAAACACAGAGGACATTGAATGTAAGTCTTATCAACTATATATGTCTACATAATAGTTATAAAAGATAGAAAAACTTCTTTATTTTTCAAATGAACATTTTTATGAAGAGGATATGTAACTGTGGATAAATAAAGGCTGTACTGTTTGAAGTTGTTACAACACTTGTAATTCAGTAAAGTAAGAACAGGTGAAATAAGAGGTTATAACAATTAGAAAACAATAAAGATAATTGTATAACAGAGTGGTTGAAACCAGAACTGCAACTGAACCAGATACATTGTTTGATGAGAAGTTTAGGGAGAATTGTGTTTTTAATGATACCTCATATAATCCATTAAATATTGTAGTTAGGTCAGAGTGATTTTTTTTTATTTACATAATAAAAATATCGTTATTACAAGGTTCACTTGCTTTATGTAGTTATAGAAATTATTTCACATTTCAAGCTTAAGGTTACAAATGTTTTAATGTTTACTGATTAATCTACTTTGTTATAATTGTATTAAACAGAGAACTTTTTTGTAAATTTAATGTTGTATAAAATTACTTTTTCAACAACCTAACTTGTGTTAGTGCAAAATAATTTAGTTAAGTGAAACCTTCCCACTACATTACTATGTTTACTTTTTTAGCTGTAATATATATTCGATTGTAGTATCGTCATCTATAGTCAGATGTATTATTTACACCAAATGTTATTTCTATGAAAATACTAGGACAGATTGTGCTTTGATACTTAATAAATAATATTCTTAGTAATTAATGATTATATAAATCTGTGTACTGTACAGCTTTAGTTAAAATTATAAGTCCCATTCAATATTTCATGAAGAAAAGAAAATTATTTACTTAACTTCATTATTTTTTTATATTTAGTGTCATTCTTCAGCGTCAGGTTCAAAACGTTCTTCTATGTTTTATGAACTTGGATCAGAAAAGAAAAGGAATACAAAAAAGCATCTAGGAACAATATTACTCCATCGATATAAGGAACGGTAAAAATTTCACTGCAACTGTTTGGGATTTATTATTAAATATTACATCAACAAGTATAATTTTCCTAACATGTATAAAATACAAATCTATGTAGAATTAAAATACTGTAAAGATTTGGCTGGATTAGATATTGAGATACAAAATTCAAAGTCGATAAAAATATTTGATAATGTCTTGCTAGAAACAAAATTATTAAGTATTTGAAAATAATTTTTCCTTAGCAGTTAAGGGATACTTTTATGGTACGTTTATGTGATAGACTTGGAAGTTCATATTTTATAAATGTTTTTATAATTATACATTTTATGTTTTTGTATGAAACACTGTTCATTTTCTGATGCAGAAAGTAAACATTTTTCTTCCTTTTTTTTAAGAATGAGACATCAAATGATAAACAAGATGATATCACAGTTGTGCAGTTACGTTCCAGGAAATGAGAATGAACAAAAAACTAAGGTAAACTTTGCTTATTGACAGTGTTGCTTCTAACTAAAACTGAAAATAATGCTTGTGAAGCATTCATATTTTGGAAGAGCCTTGTTCCAATAATGAGATTTAATAATCAACTATGAATTATAAGTTTCAAGTTTGATGTACAAATTTCATGAAGAAAATTATTTATAAAAAAAAAAACATTTTAGTAAACTGTAAATAAATGTTCCTAATTTTCTACCAACAAACATAGATGCTCATTGGTTTTTCTCTCTGTAATATCTATCTATGCATTCTACTTGAAATAGGTTGAAATCATGCCTATTTCAGCTATTTTGTTTGGTTATCTATTTTAAGCAGTTTTTTGAGCAACTACACATCTGCTGAGGCCACTTCATACTAATGTGTAACTAACTGTTTTGGAGCAAAGTCATTAGTAAGATGTCTCTTGGATTATTGTCCTGTATAATGCACAGTTACATTTAACATCACTAGTTTCACTTAATCTCTTAAGTTTCTATGCAGTGCCTTCTAAAAGATGAAATTCTGCCTCACATGAAATAGCCATTACCAGTCAAAAGTTGATCTCTACATAATTGTTGTGTGCCATTTCTGTCCTGGAAGTCATGAGTGCATACACCACTACATTATTGCCTGAGAATACCATTATGCTGGTTTGACAGTATCTGAACAGATGGGTAATAGTTTTGAAAGTTAGTGTGGTATAAGAATATACCATGGATTTCTATCTTGTGATATCTTAGTATTTATTACCGAATTTATCATTAATTCTGTACATGTTATTTTCTAAAACACCTGTTCTGCTAGTGAGTTATATTGCTGTAATATTGAATGTTTTACAAGAATGTTGACAGCAGCATCTTCCAGTGTTAGTGGATACATTACAGCCTCCCTATTGTTTCAGTGGGATTGACCAACAGTAACATAGGTGGTTCACACGTCCTGAGAATATAATTTTATTAATATTTAGTACATTTAATACATTGATCTCATCTCCTGGTTATCTCTCTCTGTCTCAAGCTCAAGCCTTCAGTATGGTAAATAACTTTAAGACCTTTTTTGTTTTGTAAATATTAATATCCTCCTCAAGTTTAACCCATAACTAACTAATTCTGATTAAACACTGGTATGAGTTGTTGGGAGAAAATAGAGAGTTAGCTATAAAGGTTCTGTTCTTTGTCCTATACACACATTATTTTGATTGTTTTTGAGTATAAATAAAGATTTCTTCATTGTGTGCTTGTACATTTATGTCTGGATAGCTTTATCTGAATACTAGCTGGAGTACCAGTCCATTGAACAGATGAAATAAAAAATTTAACAAAGGATAGAAAATGTTGCCTCTATTTGTTTTCATAACATACTAAACATTAAAAGTGCAATAAAAATACATAAAGGTACCAACACTGAAAAGAAAGACATGCTGTTTTTATTAATTCTATCAATATGAAATTATATGAGGTGTCAACCCCCACCCTCATGACCTTCCTCATCTCATCCTGTATAACTGTATCAAGTTATGCTGATTTGATAGTTTTTTCCAAATGAAATTAGTGCCTCCCTCCCCCTTCATGACCTTCCTCGTGTCATTCTATATCACTGTGTCAAGTTTGTTATTGATTGACCAAGAAATGTGGAAATGTATAAGGAACAGATGGCTGAAAGGTGTGAACAAACAGACACAAACTTAGTTTTATATATTAGATACCACAATAGTACCTGATTAAGAAACTTGTACATATTATAATTCTCTGTTGTGCCATACAGCTTTGATTTTATTGAATGATAGCTACATTATTTTCATATATTTATTAACGTTTAATTAATTTTCAGATGCCAAATTACTGTTTGGGAATTATTTTTTGTTTGAAGCTGTTGTAATTGTCAGTTTATGTTTGTTCCCAAAAGTCATTGCTTCAAACAGAGATCAGTTATAAAACTAAAATAATAAAAACTGTGTTTGAAGTATTAATTCACCATTGTAACTTAAAGTTAGATGTGTTTAAATGAGGTTATTTTCTATATTTCTATGCATGTAATGTGTTTTACAAACATGATTAAAGTGCCACAAATAACAATATGTAGTAGCAGTATACTGCTAGAGGGTGTTGGTTGTAATGGAAGAAAGGGGTGATTTTCATGAATATTATAATTTTAGTAATTTGGACATTAGATTTCATAATTCTGAGAAGCTTCAGATCTTACAACATGTGTAACAGAAAAACTGTCTGAAATTCAGAATGATCTAACAATCAGTAAATGATCCCAAACAAAGCTTTCTGTTGCTAAATCAACTGATGCATCTGGACATGGCCTTTCTACTACAAATCACAAGAAAAAGGTAGAACTTTTCATTCAGATGCTGTGTAAAAGCTAATGTTCATTGGAAAACAAAGGTAGCATCCAGTAATTATGGTTTTAGATATTATCAAGGTATAGGTTTCACGTTTCAAACAAAGTTTCCTGGTTTTTTAATAGCAAAAGACTGAACGTAGCAGAACCAAGGTATCCTATGGTATAGGAGATGGTATTAGAACACGTGTTAAGCATGACCTTGTAAAGGAAATTACTAGCTTGCATTCAAATAAACAATGCAAGGACAAGTTGCAAATATGATCAATGTGAAAACTGAATTAGGCACTAGTCATTTACCCATCATGAAGTATTTTAAGTCAGGTTTCTTTGGACATGCTGGGGATGAAACATTGTCAAGTTACATTTTCAGTAATGTAAAAGATGATAAATTTACTTCAGGAAAACTTGTTGCAGTCTGGATGTAAACAAAACTATTGTATCATACTTGAAAAGCCACATAGAGGTAGAAATATCTAACCAGAAATGATGTGCAGGTATTGAAACATGCAGTACATCTACACACACAATGCACAGAGTTTTGTCAAGAGCTTAGATAGTTACGATAAAAATGTAGATTAACATCAATTCTTCAGGTACAATGTAGCTTTCCAAGAGGACTGTAGGTGCTTCCTACTTAATCTAATAATGAAAGTCTTCCGGATATTTCTAAAAAATCCTGAAAACACCCGGTTTTTTTCCGGAGAAACACATTTTTTAAAATTATTTATCGGATTTTGGTGTTCCATGCCATAGATAAGCATTTATGCAATCTCAATGCTTGTTGGCGTATACGAGACCTTGTATGCTTATAATGCAAACTTCATGTCATGTGAACGAGATTTAGAAAACGCGGTCATTCTTTTGTTTACCTTTCTATTTAGCGAAGTAATTGAAGAGCCTTATCTATTCAAAGGTGTTTACCGAAGCAATAATAGATCAAATGAACTAAGAACTCTCCGTAGTATCTTATGTGATTATGTTTTGGATTTTCACTGTGACCATTGATAGGAGGAATTTCAAGCAGGCAAGCGCCTATGGGGATATTCTGCCCAAATTTTCTTAAGGTCAGGACTTAAGTTTTTTCACGGTGTGTGTATATATGTGTATGTATATATGATGAGAAATAAGCAAATGGATTTTTGGACCTTTAAATATTTACATAACAAGTGTTAGAGAATACAAATTTTACTTTTAGCAATGTTTTAATAATGAATCTAATCAATTTCATAATAGTGTGAACTGTTTAGCCTCAGTTGAAT